AATTACTCGTCATACTGACGCAGCACCACAGTTTCTATAGATTAGATGAGTGTTGGTGCACAGTTTTCTATACACCACCTCTAAAATACTCTTCCAAAAATGGGAGCGAATATCTCTTGAACTACGCAGATTAAAAATTTCATTACCTGACCTTGTTAGGTAGCTTTAATTTATCCGAAAATTGACAACAGTGGAATCGGAAAACAAAACTTGTAGCCTCACTTTTTGGCACCAATGTTGTACCATACTTATTAGACAGCTAACAGGTAAAGGTGTTATTTGATTAATACCAGTTGTCTACACAACTGTCCACCTACCTCTCCACCCTGACAACAATCAACCGATAACAAGTTGGGGTTAATATTAAGCAAGGGGATGGGTGGGTGGGTTTGCAATTGCTTAGATACTGATGGATCCTTGTGTGGTTTACATGAAATAAAACTTGCAACTTAAATGGCATTAAATGTGTTTTTTTCTCCTTTCCATTAAGTATTTGGGCTCAATATTGAACTTTCTCTTCACCAGGTTTTGTAAATGCGTTAACTTGCAACCATAATTACAAAATGGTCACCTGGCAAATAAAACGACCGACTACCATATGCTGTGCAAACACAAGTGTCTTTGCGTGGTTTACATGAAATAAAACTTGCAACTGAAGGGTATTGAATGTTTTTTTTACTAAGTATTTGGGCTCAAGATTAAACTTTCTCTTCACCAGGTTTTGAAAATGCGTAAACTTACTTTTGTCTGTGCAACCATAATTACGATCCAGGGTGAAACGGTCACCTGGCAAACGAAACGAGCGACTACCGTGTGCAAATTAAAACTCTCCAAATTGAGCGGTAGAAAACTTATTGGCGAGCAAAGTCCCGCTTTAGTTGGTGGCGAAATTGAAGTAATGCGCTCATGGTTCTTTTTAATAATAACATTCACCTTCCAGTAAGTCATTTAAATAATAATTTACGTAAGGCAAGATAATTTTCGTAAAAAGCTAATAGTAATAACAGCGTTTGCGATATACACTCAAGTGTGATCCGCTAACAATGTCTCGATTCCTTTCAAAACGAAGCCAAGAAATATTCATGAAAGAAATCTGATTGAAACAACCACTAAATACTCGATAGACTTCAGAAATCATACATAAGAAAATTCAATCAAATAATATGCTCTACGCGTTTGATTATCAAAAAATCGATAAAACCTCGTTGGGAGGAACCAGCTGAACTTGAACGCTCCGCATGATAAAACTTTCTGAATCTTCTCCCAAAATTGTTTAAAGCCACGTTTTGTTTAAGTCGTTACTGCCACTTTTTCAAACCTTCCGACGCTCTTCTCGATTCAAAAGGTCCACTTGAATGATCTTTTCTGAAAGCCTCTCGTCCATCATACCTCGGGGAGCGATTCGACCACCGATCGCTCGAGGGCCTGCGTGGCCGTCTTGTCTTTAACTCCGGCAGTTGAGTTATTCTCTCTACACTTTGAATTCTCCTTTCCTTGAGAAGATTTTCTTCCTGAGTGAAGGAAGTAATTAATGTCAAATAAAGAATGCTTACAGACTAAGGTTACATTAAAGCAAAGACGGGGTCCCGATCCCCCGCAAATTTAAGTAAGTGAACTATGGTTCCCATTTTCGGCTGTAGGTAACCTGTCGGCTGACAGGTTACCGACACATTACCGAGAGTCCACCGACAGTGTTAAGTAGACCAAAAAATTGACCGAAAACACGAGTCGGCCGACAGTGTCTTTCGGGAACTGTTTTCTTCACTTTTACCCAAATTTAAAAAAGGAAATTTCAAATATCTCTTCTTATGTACAAGGTCTCTGGAAAATCTTGAAGTTTTGACGAAATGAAAGAAAAAAAATCAGTTTATTCCATTTCGTTTCCTGATAAGTTTTCTGGTTGAATTTTAAAAGTAATACATCCCGATCTTGACTGTAAATACGGCAAATAATATATCACATGTTGTCGTGCGTCTGTTCAGCAAAATATCACAGATAATGTCAAAATGTCACAGATAATGTCAAAATATCACAGATAATGTCAAAATGTAGCAAGAAAAAAAGTGCAAAATATCACAGATAATGTCAAAATGTAGTAAGAAAAAAAGTGCAAAATATCACAGATAATGTCAAAATGTAGCAAGAAAAAAAGTGCAAAATATCACAGATAATGTCAAAATGTAGTAAGAAAAAAAGTGCCTCAAGAAGCGCAGCCGAGTGTGACATTGATGTTATAATCTACTACAATTTGACGCGTCCTGTTATCTATGACTGTGCAGACCCCACAGCAACAAGGAGTTCGTTTGTTTACAAGATAGAAAAATAGACAGTCAAGACTACATGTGGCTAGTGGTATAACAATTTCTGTAGAGCACTGAAAAGAACTAGAGGTTGTGTAATGACGCTAGAAGGTGGTGTTGCAAGATATTTGTCTCACGTGAAAAACAGAAAACCTGCCGCATTCCACATATTTCTAGTCCTTGTTCCATAAGAGAAAGATGAAAACCAGCCTTTGAGGAATGGGAAACGTTTCCTTTTCATAACTCACCTTCATGAAATATTCGAGACGAAGAGGCACATCCACTACAACACTCTGTCGAGTAAAAGGCAAAAAAAAGATTACATTTTGTGGAAATTCATGAAAAATTACACAATTTCGATACTTCTCCTCCCCCCCCGACAAAAAAAGCAACAATATAATAATAATAATTAACAATAATAATAATAATAATAATAATAAGCGGCAATAATAATAATAATAATAATAATAATAATAATTCATGGCGGCAAGTAGTGTGGACGTGTTTTAGAGTGTTCTCATAAAAATCCGTTCCCATCGAAAGCAGGCCGAGTTTGGAGCGCCAGAGCATCCTTAAAAGTATCTAGTATACTTTGCAGATTGTTAAGCAGTTTTGCGAGACTATTTGGCGTCTCTGAGCGGGAGTTTTAGCTGAGTTGATTTTGATTTTGTTTGGATGTGCGAGCGATTTGTGTCATGGCGGATGGACGGAGGACCGTAGACACAACGGAAAAGCTTTTTAGGATTAGTTAATGTACATTTATTTTTTTACTCCATGGCTCACAGGTTACAGTTTTCGCCCTGTGCTGCCTGATTAGAATGTAGCATTCAGTTGACTTCTCTGCGACATAACGACAACAAGTTGTGACGCTGGAAATGGGCTGCCCGTGGAAATGAGCTGCCCGTGGGGTTAACAATCGGACAAGAT